GCTTCCTGAGCTCTTCTCAAGCGCCTTCCAGTATGGTGGAGGAAACCTAGGACTGGCTTTTTTCTTTGGGGAAAAATGTTTTCAGGGAGAGAAAGTGGGCACCAGGAAACACATCACTGGGCTGTATGAACACAAAAATCAACAAAGCCACAAAATGAAGACCTGCTTAAGAATTAACTGAGATGACTCATTCAGTGTGGTTTAGCATACAGAATACTGGAGGTTATGTTGGAAGACAGGGGCGAAAAACCCCAAGTTGCCCAACTAGATCACTGTGTAGTCTTTCAGCAAGTCACTAGGCCTCAGCCTAACCTGCTTCATGGGGTTATTATGAAGATAAAGTGGGATGGTCTCATATATGCTAGCCTAAACTCCTTAGCAATATACTGGGATCAAATGTAACAACCATAAAAAGAAATATGGAATACACAATTTTTTAAAAAAACACGTTTATAAAGTTTTCTCCAAGACATCATGCCTGACAGCAGAGTTGCATTCCAGTCCTAAGTAGAGGTACGATAACTAGAGATGCTGCCAGTAGGCTTGCCAGCTGCAGATCTGGAAACACCTGGAGATTTTGTGGGTGGAGCCTGAGGAGAGCGGGGTTTATGGAGTGGAGGGACTTCATTGGGGTAGAATGCCCTAGAGTCCACCTTCCAAAGTGGCCATGTTCTCCCGGTGAACTGATCTCTGTCACCTGGAGAGCAGTAGTAATCTCAGGAGATCTCCAGCCACCACCTGGAGGTTGGCAACCCTAACGAGAGGGGTAAGGCCCGGCGAGGATTCACACCATGACACTTCCAGCAAATACCTGGGAGTGACGTTACCCTGTTTATGCAACATTCTGAGATTCACCTCCAAACCCTACAGTAAAACATTTGCTGCTATTTCCTAGAAGGGATGTCATGCCACTGGCTTGATGCTGGTTTCCCCCAGCCATTTTTTCCCCTGCCTCCCTGTGGAGCAATGGTGGGCAGAGCAGGCAGAGGCTGGGAGACCTGAAATGGAAGACATGGCCTCTCTAGATATATCCCTCTAACCCATTGGCTTGAATCCCACCTCAATTGGGGGGTGGGGGATAGAAGGCTTCCCATCCTTGGAGTGTTGGCCCATTCTGCCACAGTCCAAAATCCCCCTCCCCAAATGCTGCTCCTGAGAGACAGGGGACTCTCTAGAAACAGCTTTGGAAGGAGTCAGGGATTGACCATAGGAGGGGGGGGAATCAGGGGGGAAATCATCCCCCCTTTCTGTCCACACAACTTTTCGGCAGGGTCCAAACCTTTGACTTCAGTAGACTTAGAAGAGTGTAACTCTGCTCAGGATTGAGTCCGGTGGGTGGTCTAAAGCAGCAGAACAAAGTTTGAGTCCAGTGGCACCTTTAAGATCAACAATGTTTTATTCAAGGTGTAAGATTTCGTCTGCATGCACACTTTGTGCATGCACACGAAAGCTTACACTTTGAATAAAACTCTGCTCAAGATTGTACAGTCAACACTGTCTGTTCCTGCGAGGATTACCTAAACTTTGCATTTCCTAGTTCAAGTGGATTTAACTCTAGGTTTTGTTTGCTTTGTTTTTCTTAACTCTCCGCTCTCAAAGGATGTCGCCACAGCTGCTCTGGGCTTACATAATGCCCAGCAGAGCGCTGCTTCAGTCTCTCCGATTATGGATTAGTGTCATAATAATTGTGCAGGCCAGATTCTAACAGCTGTGTGCCTCCTTCCAGGGGCTATCGCAGATTTCATGTCTTTCTTTGGAAACGACTGAGTGGCTGAGTCCCCAGCCTCACGCAACAATCTCTGCGCTGTTCTCCACAGTTCAGAGCCTCATGGCGTAGGCGGAGAGATGGCGTTACCAGTCATAAGCACAACTGGAGAGGAGCGCAAAATGGGGCGTCGAAGGCCATGTTACATGAATGAAAAAATGTTAAGTGATGTGTTTATTTCAAAGTTTAAAATACAGACATTTTCAGCACGGGAGATGCAAAGCCACGTACCAGCGTGGGAGGCTTAGTAAGCACATCAGGCGGTTTCTCAGCTTTTTCTGACCTAAATGGCCCAGGCCAGATCGATCTCAACAGATCTTGGAAGCTAAGCAAGGTCGGCTCTGGTCAGTACTTGGAGAGACCATCATGGAAGTCCAGGGTTGCTACACAGAATCGTGCAGGAAGTGGCGGCGGCTACAAGCATGGACGGCTTCAAAAGGGAATTAGATAAGCATATGGAGCAGAGGTCCATCAGGGGCTATTAGCCACAAGGTATAGATAGGGACTCTGGGGCAAATGATGCTCTGTCTTCTTGGTGCTTGGGGGGGTCAACAGTGGGAGGGCTTCTAATGTCCTGGCCCCACTGGTGGACCTCCTAATGCACTGGTATTTCTGGCCACTGTGATACAGACTGTTGGACTGGATGGGCCTTTGGCCTGATCCAGCATTGGCATCTTTTATGTTCTTATGTTCTTATGTTAAATCACTTCTGAATGTCTCATGCCTCGAAAACCCTGTGGGGGCACCGTTGGTCAGCTGTGACATTCAACCACCAGGAGGACACAACCTGCTGAATGAAGAACACAGCACCCACAAATGGTGCCTCCATGTGAGCAGGGCTCAGCTACATCCCTTAATGCATCGCATATCTGAGCACTAGTGATGGATCTTTGTATGCTCCTGTAGCACCGTTCATTCCCCAGAGTGTCTACAGGGGAGTTATGCACAGGGCTGCTGAGAATGCTAGTTATGGGGGGGTTTCATGCACGTATCAGTTCTGCATGACTCTACCTGGATGCAACCCCCAAACACTCCCACGGCCTGTGTGATGTAATGGTTCGAGTGCCAGATGAAGACCTGGGAAGCCCATCCCCACTCTGCCATCGGCTAGTTACACTCCCTCAGCCTAACCTACTTCACAGGACTGTTGTGAGAGTAAGGAAAGGAGGAGGATGCTGAATGTCCTCATTGGGAAGAAAAGGGGGGTTTAAATATCGGAACAAACAAATAAGGCCTGTAGGGATATGAATTGGCCCTTGGTAAGTGGCAGCTGGGAAGAACAGGTGGCAGGGTACAGCCTTTCTCTTGTCAGATCTTGGAAGCTAATCAGGGCTGGGACCAGTGCTCCCTCTAAGCTGCGGAGCCTTGTGAGCAAAAGTTCTTCCTTGTGAGCTACTGGCATTAAAGCTGTGAGCCTGTGATTCGGCTACTGCATACATTAGTTTGCTCTAGAGCCATCCTTCCTGAGCTAAGACAAAAATGTGTGAGCCGGAGGCTAAAAAACTGTGAGCTAGCTCACCCTAACTCAGCTTAGAGGGAACACTGGTTGGGACTTTGATCAGTCACCATAAGTCAGTTACAACTTGACAGCACATACCATACATTGTGGCAACTGACTAGGCAAACTGATTTCTTTTTAAATATATATATATATATATGTAGCAATGTGCAGAGTATCTGATCTGTGATGGCTCATTCACACATGCAACGATAACCATATGCAGTATTAATATGCCACGTATTTATATAACATGTTTTGAATCCTGTTTTGAGATCTTGAAGATGTTTAGCCTGGAGAGGAGACGACTGAGAGGTGATATGATAACCATCTTCAAGTACTTGAAGGGCTGTCATATAGAGAATGGTGCAGAGTTGTTTTCTGTTGCCCCAGAAAGTCAGACTGGATCAAACAGAGTGAAATTAAATCAAAGGAGCTTTCAGCTAAACATTAGGAAGAAAAAAAAAGGTTCCTCAGTGGAACAGGCTTCCTGGGGAGGTGGATGGGCTCTCCTTCTTTGGAGGTTTTCAAACAGAGGCTGATTCTGTGAATTTAGGCAGATCACAAGAAGGGAAGGCAGGAAGGGTTGCCTCAGTGCTTAGTTCTCGTGGCCCTTTCTTACAGGCCCAGGGAAATGTCAATTGCCACTTTGGGGTCAGGAAGCAATTTTTCTCCAGGCCAGTTTGGTCAGGGATCCTGGAGGGTTTTTTTTTTTGGGCGGGGTGGGGGGGATCTCCTGGGCATGTAGCAAGGGTCACTGGTAGTGTGTGGGGGAGTTATTTGTGAATTTCCTGCATTGTGTAGGGGGTTGGACTAGATGACCCTGGAGGTACCAACTCTGTGGTTCTATGTGGTGCGGATGGGATGATCCAGAGTCTTGTACCTAAGATCCTTTACTGATCTTGTACCTAAGATCCTTTACTGAAATGTCGAACCAAGGACTTCCCACCTCACTCCTCGCCTGGTTCTTGCAGAAGTCATCAAGTGATGGTTCTACGGACGATTAGTTAGAAGGCAGCCATGTGATCAGAGCAAGCTGCAATCCACCAGTCCTCTGCCTGAGACACTGATGGGTTATAGTGCTGCTATTCCTGCGGCTTTGAGAGAAGCTAGGCAGGTGTAACTTTCCCCATCACTTTATTGCCGTGCTGGGAAAAGCTTCATTTTGGCACGTCAGCCTGCTGTTAAAGGCATACGAGCAGAGCTGGTTGTCAAGGTGGAACACTGTAAACACACTGGCTGCCTGCAATATCTCTGCAGGGGAGAGGAAAGAATTCTTTTAAAACCTGATGAGTTTAAAAGGTAGATCCAAAGGAGTACTGCAGCACCGCACAAGACCGGAGGCAAAAACTGGAGCTGTGCGTTCTCTGGCACTACATAGTTTCTCTGCCATAGAGCCATTCACTCACTTATTCATTCATTCACACACACACACACACACACACACACACTTGTGAAATGCTATGAGTCACCTGACATGAGCCAATTGTGTCTTCTCTTATTCAGTAGACAGTATAACTCTTCCATCCCTGGAAGATTTCTTCTTAAAGATGGCATGGTATTTTAATTTCTTTTAGGGGGGGGGGGAAACATCCTTTGGCTACGGCTGCAGTTCTGGGTGCCAAACTGATATCCTCATTGCAGCAATGAAGATCTAAAGGATTCTGTTCCCTTTTTTTTTTTTCCCGCCTCCACAAACCACATCTCTTGGAAGCGAGGGCTCATCCTCTTCAGAAAATGCTCTCGCAGAAACGGGTGGGATCTCTTCCCTTCACTTTCTATTTGTGGGCAGACGTGTTCCTCTTTCTCCTTCAAGGTAAGTTATTTGTTCCTCTCTCGTGTTTTCAGGGTGGACATGCGTAACGCTTGTTGTTTAATCCCTTTGCACCCAGCTTTGAAAGAAGAAGCTTGTGTGTGAGGGTTTTTTTTTTAATATATTGCTCAGAATGTTTGCTTAGGTGACCTACATATTCTACTGAGGCAGGTTGCTTTAACTGCCATAAATAAAGTATAATGAGAGAAGGGTTCTTCCCCCTCATTCCGCATGTCCGTACTTGCGGCTCTTTGTTGCAATTTAAATGAACCCCCCCCCCCATGTACAAGAAATTACAGCCTATGACAAAACATTGAATGCAAACTGTTATTTCAAAAGACAGACTTTTGTTCTGTGTGGGAAGGAGAGGCAGTGTCGCACATGTGCTGCCTAGGCTGGCTTGCCTGTCAAATAACCTTATCGAATTCTGTGGGACTTCTGAGCAAACCTGCATAGCGTAATGCTGTGTCAGTGCTCTTTTCCCCCAATCTGTGATTCGTTTCCACCTTTGGTGAGGAAAGAGAGTCCGTCGTAAACTCCCTTACCAGAATGCTTACAGCTTCTTAAGCACTCCAGATACGCTGGGCAAAAGGTCCACTTCTCGGTGGCTCCGTTAAGAGAAAGCTAATTGCCATTCAGATAGCTCTGACTGCCATTGTTGTATTGACCTGGCTTTTATGCTTTTTATTCGTAGATGGATGTGCAGGGATTGTGTTCAGAAAACTTTGAAATATATGTATGGGGGAAAAGCAGTGCTTGCTTTCGCTTTGCATGCCAGGCTGTTGTTGAAAGCGGAGGAGCAGGCCAGGGGGGAAAACAAGACTTGCCAACTTCTTTGCATTTCCCAGGTCGGATTTCCCAAACTTTTCCTAGAGGCCCATTCACACTCCTGAAACACTCCCCCCCCCCCGCTTTATAGAAGAGAGTTAAGGAGAAGACGAGGAGTGTGACATTACGGAATTATGGCCCCTGGCCCAGAAGCAGGTTGTTAACTTTCATAGCAGTTCCTCAAGTCCTTTAACAACGACTTTATCTGTAGGCTAGAGTTGCCACCTGATCAGAAGAAACACCCTCATATGATCCTCTGACTTCAATATACTGTTGCCAACTCCAGGCTGGGGAATTCCTGGAGACTTGGAGGAATAGTCTGGAGAGGATGCTCAGCTGGGATGTGACGCCAACTTTTGTCCTCCTCTGTCTGTTCTTGCATTTTTACATCCCCTCAAAGATCGTACCTTTCAACTATGCCAGTTCGCACATTTGGGTCATACGGTCACAGGTGTAGAGAAGTCATGTGACGCCCATACCTGTGTGAACCCATATGAGAACCCAGGCCATCATCACTTGATTTCTTCCTACTTTCTGGTTGGCTGCTGAAGGTGTGTTCTTCCATTCTTTTTACAGTTCACATCCCATCCCACTAGTTAGTTCTTACTGGGCTCTCAAAAGTAGCAGATGCTACTATTCATAAGCAAATACAAAATCATCATTAGAAGAAGAAGAGATTGGATTTATACCCCGCCCTTCACTACCCAAGGGAGTCGCAGAGCAGCTTACAAACTCCTTTCCCTTCCCCTCCCCAGCACAGACACCCTGGGAGGTAGGTGGGGCTGAGATTCGCAACCCTACCTCAACAGTAGTTTGAAGCGCAGAAATCTTCTGGGGGAAACTTTTCACCCCATGGAGATAAAATATATTTTTTTCTTGCTAGCTTTTTGTACCCGGTTCTCCCAGATTAGAGTCCGCGCACTTAACCACTACACCAAACTGGCTCTCCACCAAACTGGCACCAATCCAGAACATCAGGGATCATACACACTAAATAATCCACTTCCAATCCACTTTCAATGCATTTTTGAATTGGATGTTGCCAGTTCACACAGTTGGAAAGTGCACTGAAAGTGGATTGCAAGTGGATTATTTAGTGTGTGTGATCGCAGCCCAGGAGTCCCTCAGTAACTACACAGCAGCTGAAATTAACTGCTCCCCCTTCCCCAGCACTCAAAGCCTTTCTTCTAGAGTTGCCAACCCTGGGTTGGGAAATTTGTGGAGATTTGGGGGTAGAGCCTAGGGAGGGTGGGGTTTGGGTACAGGAGGGATTTCAGCAGGGTATGATTCCATAGACTCCATCCTCTGAAGCAGCCATTTTCTCCCGGGGAACTGATCTCCGTGGCCTGGAGATCAGTTGTAAGTCCAGGAGATCCGCAAGCCCCACCCGGATGCTGGCAATTGTACTTTCTTCCAAAGTCCTAGTGCTTCAGCTGAGAAGGTCCTGCATGTTGCTGTCACTCACTATCCGGACAATTTATATCAATGGTACACGAAACAGAGCCCCCGATGCAAATCAATGGGACTGAAGGGAATGTATGTGTGAGGAGGTGCTCTCAGTTAGAAAGAAGGGGGGAATTTTCAGGAACACAGGAAAACTCCTAGGAAACTCTCCCCCTTTTTGGAATGAATGAAATGTGCTAAATTCACATAGGATGCAGCAGCTTACAGCTCTCTCACACTTTAATATTGTATGTGTTTGCAAGGTTTGATTGTAGAAGACTAAGGTCCTGTCCACACGAGGGGATTTGGGCCAGTTGCGGGACAGTTCGGGGGCGGATCAAAGCAGCGCGATCACACCACAACATCTGGGAAGCGTCCTGCTTCCGTACCCGAACTGGCCCTTTCCCCGGAAAAGCCGGCGCAAGTTGAACCACCTACCTTGGTGGTTCAAATGGAAACGGCGCCTCTAGCTGGGCGTTTGATCGCCGGCGCGTCCTTGCGCCGGCACAACCCCGGCCCGGAGCCGAACTGCGCATGCTCCGACATGCGCAGTTCTGCCGGCTCCAGGTTAGGGCCGTGTTTTCTCCCCGGTGTTTGATCGCGCCGGGGAGAAAAGGCGCTGCGGCCAGGGGATCCATGGGATCCCGCCGCGGCGTCTCAACGTTGCCGCGGCTTTTAAAAGCCGCGCCTTAAGAGGCTTTTCCCCTGCCGTGTGGCAGGGGCCTAAGGCATTTATACTTTTAAATTCAATAAATATAGTTTTATATGCTAAGTTATAAATTATGCATTTTACTTTGTTACCTTATTTGTAGAATGCCTTTCTCATTTCACATTGTTAAAGCAGCAAAATAGGTTTAGTTGTTGTGATAGGAAAGTGAGCATTGCATGTATTTCCAATTTTCCCAACATTTCATTTCTTTTTCTCCTGGGGGGGAAAATCCCCATGGTTTCAAAATTTTCAGCAATGTTACAGGTCTAGTGTGAAGTGATAATGAAACTTCTATCTGGGATGGCCAGTTCACACATATAAAGCCATCTGATGATGCAGTCTTCAAATGATCAACATGCATGTGTGTATCAGGCCACAGTCACATGGGTATGACACCCCAATTCAAAAGCTACTTCCACACACTAAAGTTCATTTTTGCCCAGTGGACACATCCTGAGTCCAACCAAATTCATTCTGCAGCCAAATAACATAATGACTCTTCAGCACTGAATTCCTCATGCAACATTTAGTATTATCCCCATAAAAACGAGCTAAATTTTATCTTATGCATGCCTTTGTTATAAATGGGATAAATAAATACCCAAAAATTTGAATACTCACCTTTCCCCCGTTCCCCTTTCCCTCTTCATCTTCAGTAACACATTTCTATTGATATTTATTTTTCCTACCCAGATTGCTTAGCGTGTAAATCTGAAGAAAAGCTGTTTCAAAAACTCTTCTCCCACTACAATCATTATATCAGACCAGTGGAAAATGTATCTGACCCAGTTACAGTATATTTCGAGGTGGCAATTACGCAGCTTGCAAATGTGGTAAGGCTAAACTTAACAGTTCTTTCTAGATATTTAAGTGCCAGCCAGATAAGAAATCCAGGTATTGATAAGCCTGATCCAGTATGTGTATAGAAACTTCAACATGCATGTGATATGCTGCACACTTGGGGATTTCCCCACTGTTCCACCAAAAAGGCTGGTGAAGTTCTCCATGTGTGCAGTGGCAAGACTCCTATATCAAACAATGTGCATCGCCCAGCATAAGATAACAGGAAGTCCCCACATGCATTACGTTAGAGCTCTGGCTTGCATTGTAGATTTATACACACCTTGCATCTGGTAGAACAGAAAGTAAGAATCATGGCTTTTCACACACCTTGCATCTGGTCTATTAGTAAGCACTGATTGACTATAATGGGTCTCATTCATCAGTACGTTATTAATTCATACCACATGCTTAAGCATATATACCTAGTTATTGCACATCAGTAGAACAGAAAGTAAGAATCATGGCTTTTCCCACAGCACTCTACTGAAAACCCTGGACTGCATGCCTCAACCAGTGTGATCAGCCACATCTCCTCCGCTCCCATATTTATCAACCCTTTTTATGGTACTGGTTATTCCCAATTCTATTAATATTCTAGCTGCATTTGGGAGGGTATGTATAAGCCAGTCCTGCACCATGCTACATGTAGAGTCTAGGGTGACTGTGGAACTATCCTTATAACATATCTGTAAAAACATTTTTTCTCTCTCTGCTGCAGGATGAAGTCAATCAGATTATGGAAACCAATCTATGGCTGCGACATGTAAGTGAGCTCTCATACACCAGAATGGATTTCATAGCAGTGCTGGGCTTTTGCACATAGAATAACAGGAACAAGTTCTAAAAGAGATACTAGTGAAAAGAGGCCATAATTCATCCAAAAAGGATGATGGCACCCAAATTGCCATCATAAAAATTGCAAAAGGGATCACACTTGTTTCTGTCATACGTCACTCTACTTCAAAACTCAGTCATCAATTGTTCATTAAATACTAGGAATTGCCTATGCATTGTGATAGGGCAATTAAATGTGAGGTTCTGTACATGCACAAAGAAAAAGTTTATACGCCCCCAGTTTCAACATCTGATTATCTGATTATTGGTTTATTTCCTATTTGTATCCCAACCTTCCTCCAAAGAGCTCAGGACCAAGCCTTTAAATGCTTTTGGCCAGTGGGGGTTTCACACGCCTGGATTCCAAGCAGCAATGCCACTTGGAATGCAGGCATGTGAGGCCTGGTCCCTGCTCACCAAAAGCATTTAAAGGGTCCTCTTAAATGCTTTTGGCAAGCAGGGGTTTGAGTGCCTGAATGCCAAGCGGTGAATCGCCGCTTGGAGTTCAGGCATGTGGCCAGTGGCTGCCCTGCCTGCAAGATTTAAAGGGTCCTCCAGCTGATTGGCGGGCCATGTGCTCCCCTGATCAGCTGGAGGACCTTTGTTATGTACATGGACCGCCTCCAGGGGTCCACGGACAGGCCAGAGCTTGGATCCGAAAACAAAGGAAACTTCGGATCCTGGATTCCCCAGCCCCAACCAATAGCCACCTTGGCGGGACATTTAAACCCTCCAATGGGAGTGGGGGGGTGGCTGGTGGATATGTATATAGTTGGCCCTGCTGGCCGTTAGAATTAGTCTTTGTCTATGTGAAGTACAATAAACGTGTGCTACACCATGTCGTTGTCCGAGTCCTCCATGCGGCAAACCCAGTACTTTTCAACCTTTTAAATCTCCTGGGAGGGGAGGGAGAGGGGTGGCCACAGGTAGCCATTGTTGGGGGCAGGGCTTGGGGGTGGGGCTTGCCCCACCATCCAGTTGGCTGGCGGCAGGCTGAGGCCCTGAAAATCAGGGAACCCACTCCGGGGCCAGGGGACTGGCAACCCTACCCTCATAGAATTCTGTGGTCTCCATGATTCATGGGAAGACGGGAAGCAATAGTGAAAAAGTGGAGTTGGAGAAAGGTCTAGAACTCCCATTCCTCCCTGACAAATTTGACTGGCCTTTAGCTAGCCATCTGGAGCCCACCCCACTGAGTAACTCAGCCCCTAGAGCATGAAGCCAGGATGTGCTGATTGACCCAATCACCATGAGCAACCTCAACAGGTCATGGGTGTCATAAGCAGTAAGCTGACTGTAATGGTAAAGATCCAGAAATGCTTACTGCCTGGACAATGAGCATGGCCCTGATGCCAGAGAAGCCTCTCGAAAATGGAGCAGCAGCCGCTGGCCCTCCATTAGCATTGTCAGCTCTGGGTTGGGAAACTTCTGGATATTTGGGGGTGGGGCCTGAAAAGGTGGGGCTTGGGGAGGGGAGGGACCTCAGCAGGGTATAATACCACAGACTCCACCCTCCAAAGTAGCCATTTTCTCGAGGGGAAATAACTCTGTTATCTAGAGAACTGTTGTGATTCTGAGAGAGTTTCAGGCCACATCTGGAGGTTGGTGAGCCTACCTTCCATAACAACAGGGATGGTGCAAGGAACCCTGGGAAAGCAGGAAGAAGGGATTTAGGAGGAGCCTGCCACGTCTGCACAGAACCATTTATTCCCCAGCAGGGCAAGGCTGTGGAAGACTTCCACACTTCCCACAGCCTCTAGCTGAGAAGTGGCAAAGAGGCAGGAGAGAAGGAATCAATGAAAGGGCGAGCCCTTCCCTTCTTAACAACTGACGCCTAGCAAGCCAAGTGCAAGGATATCCTAGGCAAGTAATGTGGCACTTAAGGAGGAGCAGCTATAACATGCAACTAGTGTTCAAATAAACTTGGGATCCTTCCAACAGTTAGTTACTGGTTTCTCCTTTCACAAAGCCAAAGGACCCATTCCCAAGACGTTCAGGGTGGTGGGTGAAGTCATATTTGTACAAGGTCCGAGACTCAAGCCACAGGAAACATGAATATTCCAGCATCAAAACTTGTACTCTTTCTCCCTTAGATATGGAATGACTATAAACTGCGATGGAATCCAGCAGAATATGATGGGATCGAGTTTGTCCGAGTGCCAGCAGATAAAATCTGGAAACCTGATATTGTGTTATACAACAAGTACAAACTCTCTTTCCTGATAACTTTTGGGCACTGATATATTTTTCTAAAGAAATGTTGCATTTTAGCATTGCACGCCACAATCTAAACTGTCCTCTGTCTGTATTTCCAGCGCTGTCGGGGATTTTCAGGTAGAAGGCAGAACCAAAGCTCTTCTCAAATACGATGGCACGATCACTTGGACCCCCCCTGCCATCTTTAAGAGTTCCTGCCCCATGGATATCACCTTCTTCCCCTTTGATCACCAGAACTGCTCCCTGAAATTTGGGTCCTGGACCTACGATAAAGCTAAAATCGACCTTCTCCTCGTCGGTTCCAAAGTGGATATGAATGACTTTTGGGAGAACAGTGAATGGGAAATAGTGGATGCTTCGGGCTACAAACATGACATCAAATACAACTGCTGCGAGGAGATCTATACTGATATAACCTACTCTTTTTATATCCGAAGGCTGCCCATGTTTTACACAATTAATCTAATCATTCCTTGTCTGTTCCTTTCATTCCTGACTGTGCTGGTCTTTTACCTTCCTTCCGACTGTGGAGAGAAAGTGACTCTGTGCATCTCTGTCCTACTTTCTTTAACAGTGTTCCTGCTGGTAATCACAGAGACAATCCCCTCTACTTCTCTGGTAATCCCCCTGGTGGGAGAATACCTGCTGTTCACCATGATATTTGTGACCCTCTCTATTGTCGTCACCGTGTTTGTGCTGAACATCCACTACAGGACGCCAACAACACACACGATGCCCACGTGGGTCAAAACTGTCTTCCTCCGTCTCCTTCCCAAAGTCCTGATGATGAGGAGGCCTCTGCAGAAACACGTCGAAGCCAAAACTAAAAAACTCAAAAAGGGCAGTACCAGTAAATCCAGCAAGCCAAAGGCTGGCGAGTTTGGAGAAGTGAAAGTCCGCAACGAACACAGGTGCTGTCACTGCGACAAACCCAATGAGCCGGACACGAGCAAGAAAAAGAGACCGAGCCCCCAGTCTGCGAAATGGGCAGCTGACCAAGTGGAATACTCTCCGGAAGTCAAAGAAGTCATTAACAGCGTGCAGTTAATTGCTGAGAACATGAGGAGCCACAATGAGACCAAAGAGGTAGGAATGATTCCATAGTATTTGTTGGCCAAAGGTTCTCAAGTGCCATGTATGCTTCCTCAAAAGAAAGTTCTGCTGAGACGAGGAGGGTTTGCTCCCAAGTAAAGCCAGTGTGGTATAGTTATTAAAAGCAGCAGGCTGTAATCTGGGAGAACTGGGTTTGATTCCCCACTCCTCCACATGCAGCCAGCTGGGTGACCTTGGGTCAGTCACAGCTCTCTCAGCGCTCTCTCAGCCCCCCCAAAATAAGTCTAGATCGCCACAAAAGAACTAGAACAGAAGGCTGCCAGACGATCTTCGGCTCTCCTGGCTACACTACACACACTGCCATATGATAATTATTATTATTAGGATGGCCTACTCCCGCTTCGGAAATTCCTGGACGTTTGGGGTGGTGCCTGGGGAGGGTGGAGCAGTTCTCTCAGAGCTCTCTCAGCCCCACCTACCTCACAGGGTGTCTGATGTGGGGAGAGGAAGGCAAAGAGACTGTAAGCCACTCCGAGACTCTGAGTGAAGGCCGGGGTATAAATCCAACTCTTCTTCTTCTAAGGCTGTGGTCACACAGACTAAAGAATCCACTTTCAGTGCACTTTCCAGCTGGATTTGACTGTGTGAACTGGCAAAATCCAGTTGGAAAGGGCATTGAAAGTGGATTACTTAGTGTGTGTGTGACCGCAGTCTAAATGACGCTGTGGAGTCTGACCCCTTACCTTTAGCCCAAAAGACCTCAGCAATGGCAACAGGACCACAAGACCATGTCTCAGTTGGTGATGCTGCCCCAAATGCTAGTTATATCCAACCCTGTCTCCTGGGCTCAGGGCAATTTTCAACCATTTTGCGGACATCACAGTCCAGATATCCCTAGAGCCATGTCAATGCACTGAGGCTGGTAATGAGGCACTGTCAAGAGCTGCTGTAGAAGCCTGTTGATTGAACTTTCAGCCCCACTAGAGGTTGTTAGTTACACTGGTGCAAAAATGTTATCAGGCTTCCTTCCCAGTAAATGCTCGAATAAAAGTATGTTTGTGCCGACTATCTCACTTAGCTGATACAAGATGTCCCTGTGACTCTGTTGGCACAGGCCATTGGTGCACCTGTGGTGGATTCAGTTTTAAAGCTAACCTTGGTTGCTTTATTAGGATTGCAGTGGTGGGAGACCCAGTGTTCTCACACAAGCCATGTTCAGTCAATATGATTTTCGTGAGCCAACTGCGCTTAAGGGGAGATGATTCCACGTGCAATATGGATGGTTGCCATTTTGTATGAATAGAGCAACAGGTGTATTTTTCAGCTTTGGTACACACGTTCAGAAGGTTTTTGTGGGTACACGTTTGCAAGAACCAAAGCTGGAAAACACATGTTGTCCTATTCACACAAAATGGCTACCATGCAGATCGAGAGGTTCACAGGTAACGTGCTCTACCATTATACAAGGTTAGAGAGCCAAAATCGTAACAAGTGGAAAAAACTATTTGGGAGAAGGGTCATTTCACACTGACTTTGTGCATCTTCAAAGAGGAGGAATAACACACTATTTGCTTTATTCCATAGCTGCAGCCAATTAACCTACAATGTTTCCTTCCCCTGAAGAAGCATCACAAGCACTGGTAGCCAGTGTTCACTCTAAGCCTGAGTTAGTGTGAGCTAGCTCACAGTTTTTTAGCCTCCGGCTCACACATTTTTGTCTTAGCTCAGGAAGGATGGCTCCAGAGCAAACAAATTTATGCAGTAGCCAAATCACTTGCTCACAACTTTAATGCCGGTAGCTCACAAAGTAGAATTTTTGATTACAGGACTGCATAGCTGAGACGGAGCATTGTAGCTCTGAATTCATAAGGGATTTCAGTATTGTTTTGAAAGATTATGGTTTAGGGATTCATAAGCTGTGGTTCAGAGATCACTGGTGGTGTGTGGAATCTTTTCAAGTGGTTGTTAATACCATGAGAAAACTGTGGAAGGCACTTCCCAGAGAATGCTAGATGATGAACTGAAACTTCAGCCGCTTCTATATTCTGATGCAGCTATGCGAACATAAGGGGAAGAGAAAGGGCAAGCACTGCTACATAACAAGCAATTATAGTTTGAATAGATTTTTATATCTCCCAGGAGCTGAAGGCAACATACAGTTTATTTTTTTTTCAAAAATGTGCATGCTGCCTCTCCAGACCCGGCACAGGTGACTCTCTATGAAAACAATAAAACAAAATCAAGCAAAGAATAAAAACAAATCAATAGGAAGAAGCCCCGCCAATAAAAACAAAACAGCCCGGTCAGTAAAATAAATAATTAAGAACATGTCAGCAAACACACGCCAGTAAAAGCAAGCCAGGGCATAAAACATAAAACAAATTTGTTGTTGTTGTTCAGTCGCACAGTCGAGTCCCACAGGCTAGGACCAGATTGACCAGATCACGCCAGGAGTAAAAGCAAGCCAGGGCATAAAACAAAAAACAAATAGAGCAGGCTAAAACCGTATTGATAAAACAGTGCACAGGCTAGGGGCAGATTGTAAAATAACTTCAAAGCTCTTAGTTAAAAGCCTAAGTGAAGAGAAAGGGTTTTTCCTAAGGTTGCCAGCCTCCAGGTGGTACCTGGAGATCTCCTGCAATTACAGTTCATCTCCAGATGATCAAGATCAGTTCACCTGGAGAAAATTGTACCCTGCTGAGGTCCCTCCCCTCCCCAAACCCCGCCTTCCTCAGGCTCCACCCCCAAAATCTCCAGATATTTCCCAACCCAGAGCTGGCAACCCAGAGCACTCAAAGGCAAGTGGGCATCATGTGAGTCTCAAGGGGGAGGGCATTCCAAAGGCAAGATGCTACCACCAAAAAAGCCTTGTCACTAGTTGCCATCTGCCCTGTCACTAGTATCCATCTGCCTTATCTCTGCAGGCGGAGGCGCAGACAGCAGGGCTTGAGAAGAGTATCTTCCCTCCTAAATGTTGTCCCTGTGAATTAGGCTAGGCTGAGAGAGAATGACTGGCCACAGAGTCATGACAAGTATTGTGGCTGAGCTGGGATTTGAACCCTCATTTCCCCAGTCCTAGCCCAGCTCTTTAACCATCATAGTATACTCTCTTTCACAACATTCGTGCATGCTCTGTGTCACTTAGGTCCTGGTCACACAGAACGTTTGGCCCGGGAGAGGGATGGATCAGGGGCGCAGCAAACGGGCACGATCTCACTGCAACATCTGGAAAGCGGAGCACACCCGTCCCTGATCCGTCCCTAAAGCCGGAAAACCCGCTGCAAAAAAGAACCTCCTACAGAGGAGGACTTACCGGGAACGCCGCATCAAGCGTGGCCGTGGGATCGCCGGCGCGCCCGTCGTCCAGAGCAATCCAGGCTCCCGGCAGAACTACGCATGCACACACATGTGCAGTTCAGCTGCTGCACTCTGCCTTCCATGGCTCCCCCCCCCCCCCCCCCCCGCGCCGCCCGGGGGGGGGGCGGGGCTGAGCTGGGATTTGAACCCTCATTTCCCCAGTCCTCGTCCAGCTCTTTAACCATCATAGTATACTCTCTTTCACAACATTTGTGCATGCTCTGTGTCACTTAGTTCATCATTCAGTTGAAGAGTTGGAAGGGACCTCCGCGGTCATCTAGTCCAACCCCCTGGACGATGTAGGAAATTCACAAATTCCCCCCCCCCAGTGACTCCTGTTCCGTGTCCAGAAGATGACAAAAAAATCTCCAGGATCCCTGGCCAAACTGGAGAACAACTGCTTCCTGACCCCAAAGTGGCGATCAGCATTTCCCTGGGTGTGTAAGAACAGGCTACAACCCTTCCTGCCCTCCATTCTCATGATCTGCCTAAATCCACAGAATCAGCATTGCTGTCAGATGGCCATCTTTGCATTTAGAAACTTTTCAACTAGTGTGTCAGATGCTTTTTCACGTCCAACTTCAAGCACATCCAATGCGTAACAATTTCCACTGTAATTTATTTCGCCTCAGTACCCTTCATTCTGTAACTTGGATACTTTCATTGCTCGTTTTCATTCTCCCTCCCCCCTCCCCCATCTGCCTCGTGGGCTTGGACTGGAAGCTTGCGATGTTTTCTGCTTTCTTGGAGCTTATATAGAATTTGGCGTCACTGGGATAGTAATCTCAGTGGGATCTTTGAACATCTGTTGTAATGTAAATAATGCAATTACTCTGAGAGCTGTTGAAGGGAGAAAGCTCCCTACGTTTTCAACAGAACTGAAGGGTTCTCCACAGGGAGCAAGAATCCGAATTTATGTGAGCATCCCTGCAGTGATTACCCATACCAGAAAAGCTTTTCAGTTTTAGGAAAAAATGGCTCACCGGGAAACGTGCAATGAGTTTTGCATGTCCCATTCAGTTTCCTAGCACTGTAGTGGGGGTCCTTTTTTCCTATGTGCTCCATTTTAAGGATACCCCAAAAGTGGTTTCAGATACTAGATCAGCACTAGAACAGCTAGATTTGAGTCCAATAGCAACTTAGAGATGAAGAAGAAGAAGAGAAGAAGAGATTGGATTTATATCCCGCCCTTCACTACCCAAAGGTGTCTCAGAGCGGCTTACAAACTCCTTTCCCTTCCCCTCCCCTTCCCACAACAGACACCCTGGGAGGTAGGTGGGGCTGAGAGAGCTCTGACAGAAACTGCTCTTTTTCAAGAACAGCTGTGCCAGAGTTATGGCTTGCCCAAGGTCATCCAGCCAGGTGCAAGTGGAGGAGTCGGGAATCAAACCCAGTTCTCCCAGATTAGAGTCCGCGCACTTAACCACTACACCAAACTGGCTCAACAAAGGAGCTTTTTATTCTTGAAAGCTTATGCCCTGGGAATCTTGTTGGTGTCTAAGGTGCTGCCGGACTCAAATCTAGTTGTCCCCAAAGCAGTGTGTCACAAGACGTAACTCTAGTTTTACTCTTACTGCCTTTTGCTACTGAAGATGCTATGGACTAGAAACCAGATGCTGCTTTTCTGAAAGGAAGCCAATTTGGCCATGGGTGAGTACAGACCACTCACCAAGCAGGGACTTGGCACAGGGTGCATGCACCCACTTTTAAGGTGTCAAATTCCTTTGCCTTAAAGGTAACTAAACAGTTCAAAACCAAGATGGGTAGCCGTGTTAGTCTGCCCGTAGCAGTAGAAAAGAGCAAGAGTCCAGTAGCACCTTAATGTCTAACAGAATATGTGGCAGGGTATGAGCTTTCGTGAGTCACTACTCAACCTGAAGGAGTGGGCAGTGACTCACAAAAGCTCACACCTTGCCACATATTTCATTAGTCTTTAAGGTCCTACTGGACTGTTGCTCTTTTCTGCAGTTAAAAACCAGCATCTCTTCTGTTCTCTCCACTATATACAGGACACCTCTTCTGGCAAGCAGCCAGGATGGTGGGAGGGAGGGAGGGACCCGTCATGGCAGTGGAAAACTGGTTATTTGGCAACCTAACGGTACCGTTTCAGAATGCAAGATGAGGAACTGCATTTCTAGATGCTGTCTTATATTTTAAAACCCCTGTGTCATGGCAATGGAAAACTGGTTATTTGGCAACCTAATGGTACCGTTTCAGAATGCAACATGAGGAACTGCATTTTTAGATGCTGTCTTATATTTTAAAACCCCTGCAAATGGAAAACGGATACTGTAAGAACAGCATCACCTCGCCTACTGTTCGGTTTTTTTACTTGTGGAGATTTAAAAAAAAAAATTGTAGGGGAAATTCCAGAATAGCATTCCCTGCCTGCAGCCTAGTGTGGTAGGATCCATTTTATCAACTCAGGATTCTACCATCTAATCCCACAGCAGGCTTCTCTCAAATACGTGGTAAAGATGTTCATGTGACCTCAGTGTAATCTGCGTTTTTGCCCATTCCTTGCTGCATGTGGGAATAAAAATCATTAATGGGATCTTCTTAAATAATGAGGAGACCTTCCCTTCTCTTCTCTTGAAGTACTTTGCCAGTGTAGGTGAGGGAGGTGCCTTCTGAGAGGCAGAGAACTTGGGGGAGCCTGCGAACTTTCATCTGGGAGAGACCTCCCCTTCAAATGTCCCCTCACCCTAGTAACTTAATAACAGTGCCGCATGACGGAGTGAGCTCCCGTCTCTAGTTCCAGCTCCTGCCAACCTAGCAGTTCGAAAGCAAGAAATTGCAAGTAGATAAATAGGGACCACTTCAGTGGGAAGGGAACAGCATTCCGTGCACCTTGGTGTTTAGTCATGCCAGCCACATGACCACGGAAATGTCTTCGGACAGCGCTGGCTCTTCGGCTTTGAAACAGAGATGAGCACCACAACCCTAGAGTCGGATTCGATTGGCTTTCGAGCAAGGGAACCTTTACCTTTACCTTACCACAGGAGTAATTTAATGCCTTTGTGACATCAGCAAAGATTGTACCAACCCCCAGCTTCGTCTCAGACCTATTTGTTTGCCCAGCAACTAACACACTCGACACTAAGCAAAGGGTCAAGAGTGGAGCATTGGTCAGCACAGCTACCTAACATACATTCCTACCATTTGTTGGACGTGTTGCTTGTTAAATGTTACTAGTTCAATAATGCTGTTTTGTGGGGCTCTGTTTATCAGTACACAAAGGGAAAGATGGCTTTTAAAAATGCATGTCAGCAATTGTGCTAATGGCTTTGCTTTTTTACACTGATAAATATTTAATGTTTAGAGGGATCGTGGGCCTTGGCGTAAGGGTACCCAGTATACGCTTTGGAGCTCTGCAGAAATTGAGGGCCTGATCCCAGGATGGTGTTAAATCAATGATGCTATTGAATTCTGTGGAGCTTTGCTGATTCATGAGATTGAACAAGCTGCTTTAAGGAACAGCTAAGAAAACATACAGGTCTAGATTGCAGCTTTGGAGCCAGATCTCACTTAAACATTACACTAGACAAATGGCCGATGAAGACTTCTTAGCAGGATTGGGTTCTTTGCTAGAATGGAATCATGGGAAAGCATGTAATGCTCCTTGCAGCAACCTAAAAAGGTTATTGTTACAGAAAAGGGGAACCATGGCTATCATTGTTCCCTACAAGAGGAAAACTGAAAATACTTGTAGCCCAGTCAGCGTGAGGGACTATACTGTGGAGGTCTCAGGGACATGATAGGAAGACAGAAGTAAGAGAGGCTGCCACTGAGCAAGAATGCTGACAGAAAATTTACAGATATTTTTAACACCAGAGGTCAGCAGCTAGCTACCTGTAAGCCAGATCTGAGTGGTGTCATCTGTTACTCCAGTTGCCAACTCCAAAGGTGAGTATAGATTATTAGTATCTCTGACAAGGGGCCTAGCAGGCGGCCATTTTGGAATCTGGTGCATAGGGTTTTATCCCACCACCTAGTATTCCCTTTGTCAGAACAGCCCTACACTAAAACAAGTTGCTGACCAGGTGTTTTAACAAAACATAGCTTATGTACTGGATATACTGGGCTTCAAAACACTCTAAAACCATATGCTTTCTAACATTGGCCATGCCAGCTGCATTGGGAATAGCTGTATGTTATTATTTAAAACTTGGAATAGTGTTCGGAGCATAAGCACTAAAAGATGTTGTGATTCAGTTCTGCATGGACTACATGGCAGTGGCTGAGAAGCACACGATAGGTCAACAGTTTTGTAAACAGAGCCTCAGAATGAAGTTCTGGTGATCCTAATGGGGCAGAAAGTCAGGATTTTGATTTTGCAAATAAGCATAAATAAGTTGTCTTTGCTAGAAGGAAAATTTGAACCCACTCATTTCTGGTGAACTGTTGTGTGTCTTCTTGTGTATTGCAGGTGGAAGATGACTGGAAATACGTAGCCATGGTGATTGACAGAGTATTCCTGTGGGTGTTCATAATTCTCTGCGTGTTTGGGACTGGAGGCTTGTTCCTGCAACCATTAATAGCAGAGACATAATTCACTGACGGTTCAAGTTGTGCTTTTGTTTGATCACATCAGGTTCCACATGCACCCTCACCGTTTTTTCAACTTCATATTTTTTAATTTCCCATCTATGAAGTAATATAGAATGTCACCTTCACCTCAGGCCAGATGAGCAGTATTTTCTTCCTCCTCCACACAAGGCTTTCAAGCCAACAGTTTCATTCTTTCCACTTTCAGGGAAACCTTACCAGATTGCCTGCTCAACTGAGGAAGGCTGATGAAGAAATGGCTTAGAAATATATAGACGTCTAAGTAGTAGTACTTTTCTTTGAAGAAGTGAGGGGGGAACCCCCACCTACTACTTAGTTTCTGGATAATTTGAAAAGACTTCTTCTGTTTCCAGCTGAGCTGTCACTGCTGAAACTGCTTTTTGGAGGGGAGAATGGTGTTGGGGGAAAGAAGGGCCTTAGCCCTTTCCTCATCAGCTTTTTCACTGAAAAACATCACCACCCCATACCACATTTATCCTGTCTACGGAAATTTAAGGGTCTCGCCTTTTTTCCCTTCCAGTGGAGGTAAAACAGCATGGATTGGCTTTTTTCCCACCATGACAGGAGAAGAAAGAGTTAAAGAACCCGTCTCCCTCTGTGTGTATTCTCCCTCCAAAAAATAGCTCCTGTAGCTACATTTAGAGAGGGAGTATTTTAAAATTATAGAACTAAACGTGTTCTCACCTGAGAAGGTGGGCCAAGAAAAACCAGATGAGAAAAACCAGCTTACACCCATGAAAAATTAGGAGAGGACCTCCCAGCATGCCTTCGGAGCTGCCATGGCTTGAATCCATCAGAGATTTCTTATCTTTATTATTATCCATCTCTGTGTTAGTTCTAACCTCTGAGCTGAATGTTAAAACCGTTCACTGACCAGCCTATAGAAACCTGTCAGAAGACTCATGATTCATTTGGGCCTCCCATATTGGAATTCTAGACAGTAAAAAGAAAAATTTCAAGGTGGTTATTTATTTATTTATTTATTATATTTATACCCCGCCCAGCCCGCAAGCAGCCCGCAAAGCCCGCAAGCAGGCATTGATTGGTCCATTCTAAAATACATGAATGGGACTTTTCCCGGTAGAAGTTGAAATCAGCCACAGAACAAAGTGCAGTCATGTCATGTTTATGTGCTTTCTTTAAATACTTTCTCATGTGTTCATTAATTTCACATAAATTCAACAATTTCCAAAACATAATTTGTGAACTAACTTCATGCTGAGTTTGTATGTATTTTATTCTTTGCAAATTTTGACAGATTTTTGAAGGCATATCAAAGGAATTTAAATTTAGTAGTCATCTTAATGTATTTTCTGAATATAATTGCAAAACTAGAGGACCTGCCTGTCTTCCAGGATGAAAGTCTCTTTCCTTGTGATGAAAGAGTGTATAGTCAATGGGGATGTAGGCAATATCTGTGATATCTATTTATTTACAAATCTACAAAGGAGAATATATAGGAAGACAGTAGATTCCTGCAGCATAACTACTAATCCTGCATCAGAACCAGAAACACCAATTGTCCCCAAGAATGCTTTCTTTTCATCCAAGTGTTGATCATTTATTTCTGGCCAGTTGCAAAGTTGCTTCTTAGTTTGCCCCACACACATATGGGCAGAATACTTTGCTGATAGATTGTCCATTTAAGGAAACATCTCCCATCTATTTACTCACACTGAGGGAGTACCATCTGTTCACCTCTGACCATTAGCGAGGTAGTAAATTCAACAGCTTTTAGATCATACATGTTTAGCTTAAGGGCACTGCTATGTTCATTTGGCCCATGGCTGATTTTACCCAAATGAACATTCTATCTTCACTAGAATATGAGGGGGAATGTTGTACACGACCAAAATCAGGGAGGTAAGGTCACCATACAAAATCAGTGGTAGGTAAGGAAATAGTGTGGTGAAGAATACCAGCCTATGGCCCCAGTCACACGGAAGGTTTTGCCCCGCAAGAGGGACGAATTGGGGGCGCATCAAATGGGCGTGATCACACCACAACATCTGGAAAGCGGAGCGTACCCGTCCCCGATCCGTCCTTTCCGGGCGAAACCGCACATTAAAAAAACCTAGAAAAGAGTACTACTTACCTGAAGCTCCGCAGCAAGGACGGCCGTGGGATTGCCGGCGCGCCCGTCTTCCGCAGCATTCGAGGCTCCCGGCCAAACTGCGCATACACACACATGCGCAGCCGGCTGCCTCGCTCTCCGTTCCATGGCTCCCCCCCCCCGCATCTGATCGTGCTGGGGAGCAACTGCGCGGCGGCTCGAGGGATCTGTCTGATCCCGCCGCCGCGCGTCTATTTTGCTGCGGCTCAGAAAAGCCGCGCTTTACCCGTGCTCCCCACCCCACCCACCCCCATGACCAGGGCCTACATTTCCCTACTTTTGAAAACTATTTAATACAACACTGCCACACTGTGTCTTGATTGTTATTTGTCTGTTTGTAGGGGGGAGAAACTATGGAATATGTTAAGTGTGCAATATATGTAATATGCATTCATTCACACAACAAGCACACACAAGCCAGAATCTAACACAGGGTTAGGAATGATCAAAGCCACTAAAGCAAATGGGCTCAACCACACCTGACAGAGTGCTGGATTGTGACCATTCAGTGCAGCTCTGACGATTTCCTAAATGTACAGTTATTATTTTGTTTTGAATATATTTGCATTGTTCCCCGATATGTCACACTTTACGTAGCTTAATAGAATAAAGTTCGTTTTAAAAAGTAACTTAGTGTTACCATTATTCAAAATGGGTTTGTAATTTCCTGTTTTAAGCATTTACCAGTACCGTCCTAAGCAGAAATGCACACCTGTCTAAGCCCAATGACTTCAGTGGCCAAAGAAGGGTGTAACTCTGCTTAAGATGGCACTGTAAAAGTGTATCCAGACAAGAAGTTTTTCATACAAGAGAACAGATTATATTCTACTCAGAGAAGCCAGCATTGTTCATGCTATGCTTTGTGGTATTTTCCTTCACATAAAATCTTTTGTCTCAGGTGTCTGGAGCGGTGATCCCAGACATGGTACCCACCAGCATACTTCCTGCTGGCACTTCTTTACTCTCCTGCTTCGTCTGAATCACTTCCATACTCCTTCCTTTTCAAGTTCCCTTCATCACTTTGCCCTCCTTGTCTGCTCTTACCTTTGTCACGTTCCTTCTTGATTTTCTGTTCTTCTTTCTTTCTCAAGTGTTCCTCTCCTTAATCCCTGCTGTTCATTCTCCAGCCAGCTTCAAGATGGTACTACAGGTGATGGGAGAACTGGGAGGTTGTGGTGTTAGCCACGGGACTGAAATGAGGAAGAGAGTCATGCTCCAGCTGGCTTCCATGAAGTCCAGGCAGTAGCCTTAACCAGAAGACAGGCCCCTAAGCTTGGCTCTGGTGGCCTTCATTTTGGGCCTGTATTTGCTTGAAACTACTTTACCTCAGGAGCTGCGGTGGCTCAAGTGGTTAAGATGCTGAACTGCAGGCTGTGGAAGGTCAGTAGTTCAGCAGTTCGAGACCCAGGTGCCGCATGATGGAGTGAGCTCCCATCTCTAGTTCCAGCTCCTGCCAACCTAGCAGTTCGAAAGCAAGAAATTGCAAGTAGATAAATAGGTACCACTTCGGTGGGAACGTAACAGCGTTCCGTGCGCCTTGGTGTTTAGTCATGCTGGCCAAATGACCACAGAAACGTCTTTGGACAGCGCTGGCTCTTCAGCTTTGAAACAGAGATGAGCACCGCAACCCTAGAGTCGGATTCGACTGGCTTTCGAGCAAGGGAACCTTTACCTTTACTTTACCTCAACAACAGCTCCGCTGCCAGCAGAAAGGAAGGCGTGGGGAGAGCAACTCTACAAGATGTGAAAGTAAATATGAGCCAGAAGAAACAAGGGAAGAGAAGTATTTACACTCCCCAAGCCTTAACCAAAAAAACCCAGCCCACCCTCCTTATCACCTGCCACATATAGAAGACATTCACACATGTAACAAACAAAAATCCATTGTACACAAGCTTGTGGACTCTCCAACACTGGCTTCAACTGGATTTCCCACATCAGAGTCCCAAGTCCTACAGAGATTTTCTAGACCTCCCATCACAATTAATTTCAACTGGATATGTATTAGTAAACTCAGGCAAGGTTAGACTCCAGTGGCAGTTACAGTATTAACTAAAATCTTAGTTTCCCCACAGAATATTTTATTTAATCGAAGCTTGATTTTAAAAATACATGTGAGGGTACTGGAGAGAAAACCAAACATCCACCCTCTCTACATCCCTCAAATCTCTCCCTCACATAGGGATGCCAGTCCCAAAGTTGCAGGCAGAGGTCCTCTGGCTTTGGGCACTCCTCTCCACTGCTGGCCAGCTGGCTGGCGGGGGGAATTACAACCCCCCCCCATAGGCAAGAAGCCGCAAATAAATGCAATGTGTCTACATCACCCGAAAGTGACACAGGCATGTTGGTGAGGGGCTGCTCTCTGGGTTCTGGGCAAAACTCTATGGTAAAAGGTAATTCTACCATAGAGGTTTTGCCCACAAACTAGAGGAGGGTTGCCAGGTCTGGGTTGGAAAATACCTGCAGACTTTGGGGGTGGATCCGAGAGAGGGTGGGTTTTGGGGCCTCAGCATGGTACAATGCCATAGAGTTCAAAGTAGCCATTTTCTCCATGGGAGCTGATCTCTTTCAGCTGGAGATCAGTTGAAAAAGCAGGAGATCCCCAGGCCTCACCTGGAGGCTGGCAACACTAAACTAGATCGTTGTCCCTGACGTGGTTATGTCATTTCCGGGTGACGTAGGCATGTTGCATTTATTTCCAGCTTCTTCCCTCTCTGCTCCCAGTAAGTTGACCCCCATTCCCCACTAGCTGGTCCAATGGACCTGGCAACCCTACCCTCACATCTTCAAATATATTTAACACAGTGGTCATTTTGTAGAAAAAGAGGTGCAGGAGCTCATTAGCATAACTCATTAGCATAACTTATTTG